CCGGCGACTACTGTACTGGTTTTTAAGTAAATGCGAACGATACGCCAACATCAGCCTTAACAAATACTGTCATAGGTAAGGCAGAAGTCTCTAGAGATTCCTGAACCCATTTTCGAGCCACTAAATGGCGCCGGAATCTGGATTTCCTCCGTCATACAACATAGCCGTTGCTCTTATGAACCTCAGCAAAACATTGTCGCATTCAGACTTGCCTGTGTCAATCAGAATAGCAAGGAGTGTGTCCGACGTTTCTAATATCGAAAATATCTCTTGGATAACGGGGCTGTTCTGTCGTCTAACACAAATAAGCATTTATTTTGCCTCATTTGAGCTGCTATCCTAATGTGCTTAATGCATATTCCAAAGAGTTCTACTTTGTTCATCCTGTCGCGTTACTAGTTTTAACGAATTCTGAGCGAAACTTTATGCCAGTTGATAACTTCAGTTACTGTTTAAATCTTCAATCCTTTAGCTACATATTTTTTGACCTACTTATCGACTCCCATTTTACTACCCAGCGAAATTCTATTCTCGAGTCGCCCATAAAGTTAGGTTTTATCGAACTAATTCAACAATTTCACTGCCCTTTTGGTTGAACAATCAGTACATTTGGCTTCTAAGGATAGAGAAGGTCTTGCTTATGTGTCCCCAATTTTACTAAATAGACTATCTTTTCTCACTTTTATTTGTCTTACTGTTGAGTGAGAAACATTCCTATTTGTTGTCTAGGAAGATGTTATTCAGATTAGCTAATGCTTGTCAATGGGGACTATTTTGTCCTCCAGCTACCTAGCAAAGCCCCTGGACACCCGGTGTGATTAGTACATATACAATTTAACGGCGTCCGAAAGGCAACTCAGGATGAGAGCTTGCCTACTGTCAGTGATTATGGATAAATCGCCTGTGAGCGGAAACATACTTTTACAATTGTAGGATCTGCTGCGCGTTAATAGCCTGTGAGTTTTAGTCATTTCTGGATTCCATAGCGCCAGAATCCTAGAGGCGATAACTTGACCTGCCCACTCCCATCGTTAATTCCTCCTTAGGGGTCTGCCTAGTTTCTTATTCAGTCATGTTCACGCACAGTCGTCGATACTAAACCCCTGCTCATTCTTTTGACCGAGGAGAGTATAGCGCATTATTCTATCTGTGGTTGTTGGCGTTCTGCACTGAACCTTTTGCTTTAATAAATACTATTCACAACGATTGAATAATTATATGGGCGACTTTGATATCACGAATTCCCACACCGTATCTACCATCTGAACTCAAAGCTCAGTATACGGAGTCATTCAGGACAGGCGATACCCTTTAAACCGAACGAACAAGTCGCGGGAGAACAAGCCGATTATGGGCTATTTTTTCGTAAATAGGAAGGTACTAAGTCGAACATAGTTTGGCCGCAGTGGCCATACGTTAAAGACCTTACTTTGGTGAGGTGAACAACATTCCTCAGTAA